TTAAAAATTTGAATTGGGTTGTTGTTTTATTCAGGAGTGGTGAGTAATTTTACTTAAATTAAAAATTATCCTGTGATATCCCCCTAAATCTCATGGGAAACGTTCCAAGAAAATGGAGTTAAAATTTACTGGAATTTTATCCATAAACTTTTTGATGTCCCTTGTGCTTAAAAAATATATATATTTATTAAATATTTTTATTGTGAAAAAATTCATTGTGACCGGAGAGAACCTTCCCAGGCAATGCTTGGGTGTTGGTCGTGCATTAACCTGGAGTGAGTGGCTCCATGGTCACTTAGCAGGAAAAATCCGTACTATGAAACCATTGCCCTGCCCAGCACAATTCTGGCTTTTTTTTTGGGGGGGGGGCACCCCCTAGTACAGCCAGCATTTGGGAACTTAAAAAAAATTCTATTCCAAAATCTACTCTTCATGTGTAAACATGCTCAGTAAGAATGAATGCCGAATTCTTGGGTTTTCAGGATGATTTTCTCGGGCATCCCAACCTGTCAACATAAATTTTGTCTTCTCTGGTGGAATGTATAAATTAGACTTCACTTATGAACATTCATTTACACATACATATTTGAATAATTGCTTGATTTTAAAAGTTTATTCTACTGAAAACCTGTGGGGGAAAAATAATACTTACTTTAATAGAGGGAAGAAGTGAATGTCTCCTAGTTCACCCTGTGTAGATATGTTCTCAGCACGATTGAACAGCTGAGTGAGAGACGGAGCCACATTCTCTTGGGCCACGTGTAATGGTTGTCTCTGACGATAGTGCTCAATGTGGCTGGCTGCAGAGCCACACCTGTGCCCATCGCTGTAATTTCAGTGGGGTCTTGAGGTGTTGATCGTTTTTAAACTACTCTCTCTGTTGAGGACTTGAAGGCCTTTTTGGCTGCACTCTAGAAAAGCATGCCTTTCATTTGTGGTGACTTTTCTTTGGATATTTCCAGTTTTATTCATTTTTATTTTATTAGTGGTAGGTGAGGAAGTTCGGTTTCTCCAGCTATTTTAATGTTGAGCCTTTTCACTAGTCGTATTTTCCTATTTTTCTCTCATTTTCTATCTCTTAAATTTTTTCCCTACTTTCATTTTTATTTTTTCCTTTCTGATGATTGCCTTTGTTTTGTCTTCTCAACATTCTGGTGAATCTTGATTTTTTTTTTGCCTTGATAGTTTAGTTTTTAGTGCTCTTTTTATAGTATATTGTCCATTCTTCACAGAGAGAATTTATCATGTTCCTGGTGATATTAAGGATAGATTTGAGAATTAATCTGTGTACTACTACATGTTCTCTTATTTTCTCAAAGTTGTCATTTTCTACTTTTTATCTGTTTTCTTTTCTTTTCTCCTTGTTAGAGACTTTCTAGTAATTCTTGGGTACTTACACCCCTGGTTAAGAACGGAGGACCATAAGCCAAGTGCTGCTCAGAGCATGTGTAGATGGCTGTGGTTGATGCTGTTGTGTAAGGTGATCTGGGTGGTCAGTTTGTGAGGATAAACCCATGCTATATTCTTAAGTCTTCCTCCTTGGGCTGGTCAGATTCTCTGAGAGAAAAGCTTCTAGTCTTTCTGGAGGCCAAAGATCTGGTTTAGTATTTGAGAGCCCAGGGGGTTAGTGGTATTCTGTGCATGAAGTAATTTTTCTATGCACACTCTTAACTGTGCCAGTAATTTTTTTATTTTAAAGGATATCTCCCTTCTCTAGATAAGAAACCTCTACATTTCTCTTGGGGTGGTGGTGGGGCAAGCCTGGGCATTCTGCCTAACAGTATGGCGTGTGTGAGTGGGTGGCATTAGGAATCTCTTTCTAACTTTTACTCAGTCTTAAATTTAGAGGCTCTGCTTTTATGATTGGTTCTAGAAGTTCTATTACTGCAATTTTTCTATCTTTTGAGGATTCTGTGGTATAGTTTAGATTGGCTTCATATTTCCTCAATGGTGATTTGGGATTCAGCTCTCTTGGATTAGGAAAGTCTTTTGCCTCAACCAAAATGCTGCTGCTATTACCCCCCCTTTGGTTTTCCCGATCCTTGTGGGGGCGTGTTGGAAAAATGAATTGCTTTATCTTAGCTAGGAAACTGCAGCAACTTTTTTGAAATGGGAAGGCATTGGAATAATTAAGACAAATTTTATGTCTTTTTTATGAGCTTCGGAATTTGCTTTCTTGTGATTTTTATTTCTCTCATTTAGATACTTTATATATAATCTCACTTAGACAATTATTCCCAAAGGATCCCTGAGAAAGATTCTGTCATTTCTGGTTGTATCTCAAATTACCACAAGCCCGTTGTCTTGAAATTTACTGGCGGTCTCAAACAAGACATATGGGAGAAAGGAAAGAAGAGAGGTGTGACTAGCAGCTATTGGGTGCCAATAGACTGATGATCTCAATTTTATGTCACCTAATCCTTACAGCAATTCTGTAAGGTAAGCGAGCTTATCTCACAGTATGGATAGGGATACAGATAAAGATCAGGGAGACTAAATAACTTGCACAAACTCAAAGAGCTAGTAAGAAAGCGGTGAAGCCCAGTTTCAAACTTATGTTTAAAGACCTTTTGCCTCTGCCATCTCATTCTACGCTTCATAAACAGTGCGGACAATTCATTCGTTATCCTAGTAACGTTGGAGTCCTGCTATGTGCTGGATCAAAGCCTTGATAAAACAGGGATGACATTACCAGATTGATTTTTTTCAGTAGAATTACTGGCCATCTGTGAAGAGTGCCAAGAATAGAATTAAGCAGACAAATGTATTGCAGAAGTCTTGGTAAAGGTAATGGTGATTTGGACTAGGATAGTAAAAAAATGCAGAAGAATACATGAATTTGAGTTGCCTATTGATGGTAACTAGGAGCGTTGGTGGTGTAGCCATTAAGAGTTGTGCTGCAGCCCACAAGGTCAGCAGTTTGAAACCACCAGCTGTTCCATGAGAGAAAGGCTGTTTTTCTACTTGTGTAAAGAGTCAAAGCCTCAAACTCACAGGGGTCAGTTCCAGCTTGTTTTAAAGGGTCACTATTAGCTGGTACTGACTCAAGGGCAATAAATGTTTGTTTGTTGAAGGTTAAACTGACAGGATTTGGGGATGATAAAGATTTGGAAGCAATTGAAGATAGCGCCAGGCTTGATTTCAACTGCCTTTACTGATAGTGGGAAGACTTTACAAATGGATAGGATGACATTGCCTTGAATCGAATAATAATATTGTTACATCTATTAGATACAGCCACAAGAAACATCTATTAGATACATCCACACGAACGTGTCCAGTAAGCACTTAGAAGTACATATCTGGGTCTCAGTGGGAATCTGGGTTAGAGAATAAGTTTGGACATCCTTTAAAAACTTGTATAGATGGTATTTAAGCCATTGGGTTGGATAAAACTATCTAGGGAAAGGGCATTTCTGGATGTGTGGCAATGTTAGTGAAGCAGTGTTGACTTAAAACAAGTATATATATATAATACTTTAAAAATAGTTCTTTTAAAAATAGTTTTATTGATATAAATTTAATAGTTAATTCATATGAAGAAGACGTGCAGTCATCACCACAATCTGTTTTAGAAGCAACTCACTTCTCTGGACAATCTTCACATAAGTTGGTAACTTAGAAATTACATGTAAACCTAATGGGATTTACTGGATGGGGCAAGCATATAGTCATGTCATAGAAGACATTTATCAATGAGCACATTGCTGACAACTTCTTTTATGACTGAAATACATACCACCTGTCTTTGATTTTCATGAGAGACTGGACTTGAGACCATGTGCATGGGGATCCCAGATTTGATGGGAATACTACATGTGAGAAGAGTTATGATACACATACAACCCTTTCCTAGAAGTAGATGAGTAATGAACAATATTTCCCATTGAGATGTAAAACTATACTATATAGGGTCACGCATTAGTTGATTTGATTTTGCATATTTGTCTCATAGTGTCTAAGCTCACAAAAATCAAGTGTTCTGCTTGTCATGAACCCTTGAGATTATTCTCAGTAGCCAAAATTGTAAATGGTAAATTTGAGAATGCCAAGCATGAACGAAGCTTTATGGGAATACAATAGAAAAATAGAATGGCATTCACATAGTCAAAGCTGGCAATAATTCAAATGGCCATCAATAAGACAAAAGACGAACAGTTGTGGTGTAGTTGTTCAGTAGAGTGGTAAACAATGCTATTGAACCTCAGAAACATTTGTTTGAGTGTAAGAAGCCAGATACAAAGAATACACGTTGTTTGGTTTCATCTCTATGGAATTTAAGGACAGGTGTAAATTGTCTATGGTGATAAAAACCATAATAATGAATGGATCTGAGGGGTGGAGATTGACCTTAAGGTGGCATGGCAACTTTCTGAGGTGATAGAATATTAATTTGTTGACTTGGAGTGTTTGTTAAGTGGGTGTATTGTTTTGTCAAAACTCATCAACTTATGTTTGTAGGATTTGTGCATTTCACTGTGTATAGATTTTGCCTCAATAAGAAAATAAAATATGAACCGAAACAATGGGCTGAGAGGTTCTATGAGGAACAGATGGGTGAGGAAACTCCTACAGCCTCAGGTGGTAGGAAGTTTTCCAGAGGCAGCAATGTGTCAAATCTCCCCTTATCTCTTTAACCCTTCAGGTCCAAATGACTTGTTTTCAACTCTTAGCTGACACCACATATTACCCTCTAGTCCTTGGATGGCTGTTCAGTTTGTTGTGCAAAGCACACCGGTTTAGATGGTAAAAGGGTCTCACCACCACAGTGAAGTGAGGCGGTAGAGTTGGGGATAGCTACGGGCTGAGAAGGTGGATATTGGGTGGTAGGGATGGGAAGAGCGGAGTGAGGGGATTACTGTGGCAAGAGTGGATGCTTGCTTCTGGAAATGAGTTGCAATGATCATGTGGCAATTTGCATTTTATCTTTTAAAACAGGATGCTACTTATTTTATATTTCCAAAGTTATTCATGGTTCTTTACTTGTTCCTTTGATACAGGAGATAGTGGATAGCCTTCTTCAACAATGGAGGATGGAAAGCCCGTTTGGGCGCCACACCCTACGGATGGATTCCAGATGGGCAATATTGTGGATATTGGTCCCGACAGCTTGACAATTGAACCCTTGAACCAGAAAGGAAAGGTGAGAAAAATTTTAAAATTGATTTCCTTTTATGTGTTTCCCTTAACGAAGCAGATATTCCTAGTACAATGTATTGGAAAGCACATATCTGGTAAGTGAATCTTCTGTTCACACTGACTTAGATGACATCAGAGGTACCTACTTTAGGGAAGGAATGATGTCCTTTGGTAAAATTCAGCAGAAAGAATGTCTTTCATAATCACCTTCTTAAAATAAATAGTTAGCAGAAGAGTTATGTTGCTGCTGTGTGCATTCGCGTAGATTGTGGCCCATAGTGACCTGGACTGGCAGTGGAACTGCTGCACGAGGGTGCTTGGTTTGTAATCATTATGAGCACATCACCAGGCCTTTTCTCCCATGGCGTCACTGGTGGGTTTAACCCACTGGCCTTTTGCTTAGCAGCTCGTGCTTCACCACCAGGAAGGAGTCTATTTTATTTCTTATACCATATTACTAATTTGTACTGCAAATCTAAATGTAATATACTCAATATGTTATGAAGAATCTGAGAAGTGAATGTTATCAAAATTTGCTTTTTTGACTTCTGGATAATTTTTCCCTTTTTCTTAAAAAAAAAAAAGCTCATTTACTTTAAATTACTGACATGGAGTTTGAGAACAAATATTTCTAGTCAGTGAAGATACTTAAGTTTTAAACATACCCACCCATCTATTATTACTTTTGTTTTAATGATCTTTATTTAGAATGTAAAGTATAGTTTCTGTACATATGATACCTAGTTTTTTTTTAATGCTTAGACATAGACTAGACGCTGTTTGCAAATGGGAGTCTGGTGACAAGCGATCAGGAGCTATGAATTGCATACAGAGAAGGCATTCACTGTGAGCACCCCACTTGCAGTATTAATGGGGATGGATGATGGTCTCTTTTGGGACAGTCTCACAATGTTCAGTTTAATAAATATCCTTGATTAAATTTAGTTTGTGAATGCCATTCCTAAGTACTTTAGACTGAAAACTGTGCATGAATAATTTATATTCCACTGATACATGGTTAACTAGTGCCATGTGACTGCCATCCTTCTGGGAACCTTAGAAAAACAAGGTGGATGTCTCATTTGGTCTTTTCACAGACAAAATTGTTCTGTTACTGTAAAGAACCCAGGAGCCTAAATGCATAATATATAGTGTGCCAGGTTAGGGGCAGCCAATTAAACATAAGCTCAGGATGTTTAAAGATGTTTAAAGAAAAGACAAAGTGTTTTTAAACTTACAATGTAGTACATTAAAAATTAAAAAAGGATAAATTATTTTATGTATTTGAAATCATTAAACTTTTGGAAGTATCTTTTGTAAGCCGTGTAAACCACAGGGCCAAGCTGAAAGGGCAAGTCTGCCCCCTAGGTTTGGGATCACTGGTAGGAAGGTGCCGTAGAGGTTCAGTCCAGCAGGCCTGCAGTCCCACACCACGAGCTGCCCCTCCGGAGAAATATGTGAGCAGTTAGCCTCAGAAACGCACAGGGGCAGTTCTAGCCTGTCCTACATGGTTGCTATGAGTCAGCATTGACTCGGTAGCAGTGAGTTTTTGTGTGTGTGTGTTTTTAATTAGGAAGGGCGCCTTGGTGGCATAGTGGTCAGTATTTGAAACCACACACTGCTCCATGGGAGAAGCACAAGACTTTCTACTCCTGCCAAGAGTTACAGTCTTGGAAACCCACAGGGATAGTTCTAACCTGCCCTACAGGGTCTCTTCCAGTTGGGATTTACCAGGGTAGTGAGTTTGGTTTGGGTTTACTATGAAGGCGCTTTGGTGGTGCACTGGTTAAGCACGTGACTGACTACTTAAAGGTTAGCAGTTCTAGCCCATCAGTTACTCTGTGGGAAGTAGATGTAGCAATCTGTTTCTGTATAGACCACAGCCTTGGAAACCTTCTGGGGCAGTGTTGTCCTGTAGGGTTGGATTATGTCCTAATACATTGCCAGGTAACAAAATAATTCAATTCAGACATAGGAGAAATATGATTTATAGGCATATACTTTGTTCATACTTTAAATATTTTTAAAAAATTAATTTAAAATCTTACAAAACTATATCCATTAAAGGATACACCATTTCAACACAGTCTACATATACAATTCAGTGACATTGTTTGCATTCTTTAAAGAGTGTCATTCTCCAGATGATCCTTTACAAATTACTCCACTATCATCAAGGTAACATACTTCAGTATTTTGTGCGTTCACCTGTACCTCACTAAACTTAGTCAACTATACCTAAGAAAACCAGTGTAACACATACAATTTAAATATGACACTGTGTAAGTACCTGTGTGAATTCAAGTTTGAAGTTGCTTTTTTATTTCAAAAAATCTGTTTTGTTTTGAGGCTTAACAATATTCTCAGGGATTGCTTTTAAGAGTAACCTCTTCCACTCTGATTGGGTTTGTAGGATGTAATGTATCATAATCAGACAATTAAAAATATTATAATACAGCAGTTTTAAAATTAGCTATGTCATGGTGTAGAGTCCAGCAGCATGCAAATATTATTAAAGGGTGGATGGCTTCCTGGATGGCAGAATGGCTTGTAAAGCATTATGATTGACTCATAGTAAGAAAGTACGTGTATTATATGTTACAGAATAAAAACTGAAACAGAGATGATCAAAATGAGACATTCGTATTACATGGTACGCATTGTGATGTTTCCTATTTTTAGTCCATTAAAATGCTGACTGTGGTCCTCTAAGTCGATTTCATATTCCATATTTGAAGCAGACTTGCTTTCAAGCTGAAGGGTCCATATTTCTGTTGCCTGGCTGCTTTTGTCAGCCCACAGTGTTCTCCCATCCTCTTGCCAAATGCTTGCTTTTCTCTGTTTTTCCCGCTCTTCTGTCTTCTCAGCTGCAGTGTGCATGAAGTTCTTACCACAAATCAGGCAGTGCTTGGGGCTCTGTGTTGTTTCTCAGAGTTTGCCTTTTGGCTGCAATTCCATTTTTCCATAGACCTTTGCTTAGCAAGTGCCTGTTCATCTGTGGTTGAAGGTTATCTTCTTAAACAGTAAATAAACTCATTCATTTTGGTAAAAATGTACAGAGCAAACACACACTATTTTCATAACTTTGAAATATTCAATATTTTGACTTTGGTTTTATTTTTTGAGTTATGCCACCTTTCTTAGCAGTTTTTCCCAAATTATTTAGCCATCAGTAACATAAACTCACTTCTCCTCTGCCCTAAGCTTTTTATTTATGTGAATTGCTGTTTCACTTAAATCATGTAGAGATAATTCTTTGAAAGAGCATGCTGTTTTATGTAGACAGCTTTTTCTAATTAAGTTAAACTTGGTTTATTTGGTTCAAAGATGACAACAGGGCATACTTTGAGTTCAAGCCTTAATTATTTCCTTAAAGTAGTTGTGTGTGTGTGTGTGTGTGTGTGTGTGGTCATCTGAACTAAGTGGATGGCTACCTTCTTTATGAAGTTTTTGTTTAAGATACTGAACTTCCCCCGCAATGCATTAGAATCGACAATTGATTACTCCTTCCATTAATGAATGGGATGAGTCCTTAGTTCTCTTTGGAGCTACTCGTTTACAAGTGTATTCCTCTTTCTATCAGACTGCAATCTTCTCAATTGCAGGTGCTATAGTCTGTGTCTGTTCTGCCAGTGGCACTTGATGCGTTGTGTTTGACATGTGGTAGGTGTTGGATGCTGGAGGGTCAATGTCTCCTTTGTGTTTATGTGAACCTCTGTTCATTCTACTTGCTTTTTGATTGAGTGGGGGCAAACAAACCCCCCCAAGACCCAGGAGAAAGCAATTGCCACAGTGAAACAAAGTTTTCCTTTCTCTTTGCCTAGGCAGTAAAGAGGAGGGGAACATAGGGACTGGTGATAATCTGGGAAATGGAGGGCAGGGGAGAGAAACCATCTTTCGGGATTCATTATGTCCTTTCACTCCTGCTCTTAACTTTCTTTTTCTAGAAACTCTTTGTTCTACCTTCTTAACTCCTGTTGTTGTTGTTGTTAGGTGCCGATGAGTTGATTCTAACAAAAGAAACACTGCTTGCTTGTGTGCCTCTTTTCTTATATGTGTGAATGCTGTGGATTCCATCTGGGAGTTTTATGTTTTTGAAAAAGGTATTTTTCCATGAATAGTTGTTCTTCTTGTACAGTTCCATCTTGTGATCTCCTGTATTGTTTTTATTATGAAGGCCATATTTTACAACTATCAATTCTTTTTCATTTTCAATGTAAGCATTCCAATCACCAGTGGTTATTAATGATCTTGATTGCATATCTGATCAAGTTTAGGCTACAGAAGTTGATAAAAGATTTCAGTTTCTTTTTCTTTAGTTAGTGCATGAATTTGAGGGGCTGTTGCATGAACTAGTCTTCCTTGCTGTATAGATGTGATCCTGTCACTGAAACTTGGTCCTTTCCGATCTTGAAATGCTCTTTCTGATGACAAAGCCGATGCTGTTCTTCAGTTTGCTGTTTCTGGCAGAGTGGGTGATAACTGCCCTATTGAAATGCCCATACTAGTCCATTTCAACTCACTAATGTCTAAGCACTGTGTTTCCCAAAGTAGGTGCCCCTAGGAGGGATACTTGGGGAGCCTTGGTGGTGTACTGGGTTACACATTGGGTTGTTAACTACAAGGTCAGCAGTTCAAAACCACAAGTTGCTCTAAGGGAGAAAGGTGAGGTTTTCTACTCCCATAAGGAATTACATTTTCGGAATGAGAATGTAAGCCACCAGAGAAATTGCAATTGTTTGCAAAGTAAAGATTAGGGGACTTATTGGAATGGCATGGATAAATTAGAATTCTCTTTATTGTTATTTGGGATAATCTATTGCCCCTTACAGATGACATCCTAACTCTAGAGTTTCAACCATAACTTCTAGTGATAGAGTACACTCCCCCTTTGTTTTTTTCCCTCCCCACTCATGGTTATGTAATTTTTTGGAACAACTATTTTTAGATAGTGTTTTACATCGCCTCAAATGTCAGACTTGTTTCTGGGTATATTTGACCTTCTGATTCCAGAAATGGTGTCAGTTCTCCCCTATTAGTTTTGGTTTTTGAGTTATAGAAATATGCCATGTATCACTCTTCACTCTGCAGACTCATAAATAATAAGGATATTTTTATGCAGTATTAGCTAGCCAGAGGAAGAGGAAGTGCATGCTGACTTTATATAGTTTATGTTGTGATGAAGATGTAAGTCAAGTTCTACTTTGCATGATGTAACAATGCAAATTCCATGAGCTTCGAATTTTCCCCAAGTGTCACTTGAGCTTTGCTAGGAACTGAATAGCAAACAGTTCTAATTTTGTATCTTAAAAGGGGAAAGAAACAGGAGTTACTGTGTAATAAATGAGGAACCCTGATGGCAGTGTGGGTTATGTGTTTGCTAAGCACAAGGTCAGCTGTTCAAGCCCACCAGCTGCTCTGTAAGAGAAAGCTGAGACGTTCGGATCCCATCAAGACTTACAGCCTCAGAAACAAGGTCTGCTCCGTCCTGTAGGGTCTCTGAGTTGTGATTGACTGATTGGTAGTGAGTTTGGTGCAATAACTAGAGATTCAAATATTCTGAAATTCAAAATGGGTCTATAAGAGTTCAGATTCTTTTAGTAAAATTAAAATGTCCCAATCATGTTATAAGTAGAACAACTTTTTCACCTGTGCACAGGAACACATGAAAGAAGGTAGAATTTTTCTTATAAAGAAGCTTAGTCAACCTCACCTCTGAAACACTTAACGTGAATTATCCATTGACTTCTATACATTAAAACGTGTTCTGAGATGTTTACTGCACATTTTAAAAGAGAAAAATTTAGATCTTCAAAATATTTATGCAGAATGCTATCAAGTCTTATATTTTCAACACTCTAATTTGCTCTCACACCTTCTGTTTATGTGCCTTTTCAATTTTCTTTATTTTCTTTTTACTCTTCTCAAGCCGCCGTCTGGCTTTGCAGGATCCAGCTGGTAGTCTCTATGTACTGCACAGCCTCCCCGACCCCAAAAAACACCCGCTGCCCCCTAGTCAGTTCTAACTCATGGTGACCCTACAGGACAGAGAACTGCCCTTTGGGTGTTTAAGCTTTAAATCTTGTAAAGGCAGAGTGATTGGCAGCTCATTGTGTAACCAACTACCCTCTATGGATATATATATATATGTGTATATATATATATATATACACAGATTCCTTGGGTGTCCCTTAACACCTAATTCTTTTTCAAATATTTCTTACCTCTTTTGTCTTACCCTGTAATTTGTGGGTCTGATCTCTCATATTTAAAACTAGGATAATAAATTAATACGTATAAATTAATAGCTCAAAACAGAGTGGAACACCATGTCTAAGAAACCAAAGCTGATGCAGCCTGTCCAATGCAGTTGTCTGAATCAGTGCCTCAGATACACCGGGGCAGACCTACAGACCAAGACAGCAAGAAGAAAAAATGTTTTGTTGTTGGACTGTGTGATATTTTTAAGGAGCTCTGGCGCCGTGTTAGCTAAGCGTGGGACCACTCACAAGTCTGTTGTTCAGCTCACCAGCTGCTCTAAGGGAGGCAAACGAGACCGTCTGCTCCTATCAAGATTACAGCCTTAGAAACCCTTTAGCAGTCGCTGTGAGTCAGAATGGACTCAGTGGCAGTGGGGTGGGTTTTTCATTTCTGACACATTTCTGTAGATGCTTTTACTGAAATATTGTCATGAATGAAATTATAGTCTGTTATGTTGTTATGGCTGAGTGATTGAACGTTACCTTTTCCTTTCTTTAAAGTAATAAAATTTCTGTATATGTAACCATAAAAATGTTTCTTTTTAGAAGAGCTATACCCAAACTAATAATATATATATGGAAATTGAATATTAGGATACTTCTTGCTTTATCCCACTCTGATTGTAATAGCTTATAATGCTTATTTACCAATTTTTCATGATTGATTTCATGTTCAGGGATCATGCATTTGAGTAAACTTCCTCTGTTTTTGGGTTAGTGACTTATTAAATAGTAATATTTTTCATTGCATTTTAATAAAGAGCATATTGTTACCATTATTACATTATATGTAACCAATTAAGCTCCTTTATTTTTCTTACTATTTATAAGCCTCTAGTTTAATGGGCTTTTGTTTTCTTTGTTAGACATTTTTGGCTCTTATAAACCAAGTGTTCCCTGCAGAAGAGGACAGTAAAAAGGATGTTGAAGATAACTGTAAGTATCAAGCTCAAAATAGCTCTCAGGATATGAAAGGAAACAGCTCTTCCAAAAAGTAAATTAGTGGTTAAGTTACTAGAACATGATACTATTTCAGAAGGAATGCAGGCTTTTGACATGAAGCTCATGTGAATGCAGGAACTCAAAAAATCCTGAATTCCTTATTTTCTCATATTTGTATTTTGGTGAAAGGCTTGCTTGAATATGGATTTAGTGTTATTTCTGTTGTGTGAATGTGGGGGATGGTAGAAATTTACTTGGATACATGAACTAATAGTCTCTTGTTAACAGATTTGAAAGACTGATTTTGAACTGTATCTAGAATCAAGGAGATTAAAAAAAATCATTTTATTGGGGGCTCTTACAGCTCTTACCACAATCCATATATCCATCCATTGTGTCAAGCAAATTTTGTACATATGTTGACATCATCATTTTCAAAACATTTTCTTTCTATTTGAGCCCTTGATGTCAGCTCATTTCCCCCCCTGCCCCATCCTCCATCCCTCATGAACCCTTGATAATTTATAATTTTTTTCATATCTTAGACCAACTGCTGTCTCCCTTTACTGATTTTTCTGTTGTCTATCTCCCTGGGAGGGGGTTATATGTAGATCATTGTGATCGCTTCCCTCTTTATCACCTCCTACCCCTTCCTCTTAACCTCCTGGTATCACTACTCTCATTTTTGGTCCTGAGGGGTTTATCTGTCCTGGATTCCCTGTGTTTCCAGCTCTTATCTGTACCAATGTACATGTTCTGGTCTAGCTGGATTTGTAAGATAGAATTGGGGTCATGATAGTGGGGGAGGAATCAGTAGATTTTTATAGTCATCTATGTAGTTCAATCATTTGGAAATCAAGTCATTGTGATTATCACTGTTGGAGGGTACTAAACTTAAAACCCAAACCAAAAAGATTAGCAATTAATAATTAATTGTTATATTAAACATTAAACATGTTACAATATGACATTCACTTATGACTTACAAGTATGATCTTAGCATGTGTCGTGGAAATAAAACTATTTTCACAATAAAACAATAATCTGATTTCAGATTTTTTGATGTGTGTGGGGCAATATTTAAGAATCATGCCCTCTTTTCATGCATTTTATTTAAAGGTGTCTGATAGTAGAAACAGAAAAGAAGTAAGAGAAAGGAATAGGTCTTCCTTGTTGATTTTCTCTGGAGTTCACAATTGAATAAGCTTGTTTCTTCTTCCCACTCTATGAAGGGAGACAGTGTGTAGCAGTAGGGTAATGGAAGAGCTGGGGACTAGGGAGTAGTCAGGCATTTGTGAATTCAAATTCTGACTATGTAATTGGGAAGCAGTGTGCCCTTGGGCAGTTTGCCTCTCCTATTTGAGCTTCTCATCTGTAAAATGTGATATATATATCAAAATATATATATTTATATATATATTTATGTATATATTTATATATTGCATGCTTAAAACAGACAAAAACAAACATGCAAATCAACTGAACTCATTGCCATTGAGTCTGTTTTGACCATAGCGGTGCCATAGGACAAGGTGGGACTGCCCTTATGAGTTTTCGAAGCTGTATGTCTTTATAGGAGTAGAAAGCCCCCTCTTTCTCCTGTGGAGCAGTTGGTGGTTTCAGACTGCTGACCTTGCAGTTAGCAATCCAGTGCATAAGCACTACTACGCCAGGACCCCTGTTGCATGCTTAGAGATGATATATTTAAAATGTTTGACACGTTCCTGACTTTTTATAGGTTCTCCATAAATATTAGCAGTTATTATTGCTAGGTGTAAGGAGCCCTAGTGTTGCAAGGGATATGCACCACCCCAAGGGTTAGGTGGTTCTAGGCCAGTGGTTCTCAACCTTCCTAATGCTATGACCCTTTAATACAGTTCCTTATGTTGTGGTGACCCCCCAACTGTAAAATAATTTTTGTTGCTACTTCATCATTGTAATTTTGTTCCTGTTATGAATCTGGCAGCCCCTGTGAAAGGGTCATTCGACCCCCAAAGGGGTTGTGACCCACAGGTTGAGAACTGCTGTTCTAGAGGCTGTCCTAGTCACAGATGCAGACTGCCAGGCTTTTCTCCTGCAGATAATTGGATTATCAGCGAGCACTTAACCACTGCACCACTAGAGCTCCTTTTACTATTACTTACAAGAGTCTTTCCAATTTGGGAGTCTATATTATATGAAGTGTGCAAGTAATCTATTAGCAGTTGAGAATATTAAGATATAAACTATGGATGACCTATTAGCATGCGAGAGAATACAGTGTAGATTACAAAACTGAAAGGATCCCCAAAAGTTTCTTGGTTCACTTTTCTCTTTATCAGTAACAGAATGACTTCAGATAGAAAATAAGACTAGAATTACAGTGCTGGGTGAGTGTTGGCTTGATAACTTCAAAGTTCAAGTCCACCAGTCACCTTGTGGGAGAAACATGAAGCTATCTACTCCCACAAAGATATACAGCCTCAGAAAACCTGTAAGGGCCACTATGAGTAGGAAGGTACTCAATGGCTCTTGGTGGGTGGGTGTTTAAAGTTAAAGAGCTTGGTAGAATTGTGACTTACTCATTGAGCTGCAAACTTCAAGGTTGATAGTTCAAATCCACCAACTGTTTTTTAGGCTGCCTGCTCCTATAAGGATTTATGGTCTTGGAAACCCTATATAAGGCTGTCACGAGTCAAAATTGACTCAGTGGCAGTGATTTTGGTTTTTGGCTTGGTGTTAAAAGTTCCTGGGGGTTCCTCTTGGTTGTTTTTGTGGCCTTAAACAGTGGCACCATCTAATGAAGTAAATCATGGTGTCTCCCCCTCTCCCCTTGGATAGGGCTGCTTGGCAACCGAATCTCTCCCTAAGCCTTCCCCTGTGGCCCCCCTTCCCCGTTGCTACCAGGGATCCTGGTATAATTTTGGTGTTACCACTTTTGACAGTGTCAGGGGTGAGATTCCCCATCCCACTACAGATCCCCCTGTTCTTAATGCTCATATTTTCCCCTAATCTGAGTCTAGATTTTTTTTTTGATTCTAGAATTTAACAGGGAATTCATATCCTGTTAAGACTTCCTTAGAACCTTTTTAGAGTCTTCATTTGAAACGTTTGGAATGTCAGAAATACACAGTATTGTAAAAAACTACCGACTAAGTTTACAAAAAACAAGATGTTTATTGTTTATGTCTTATTTTCAAATGTTTAAAGTTTTAAAGGTTATTTTGACTAATTAATTCTATGAATAATTTGGCATAAAATGTAAAAAGTTGACCTAAAAGAGTGCATATACTTAGCCAAACCAAGTTGTCCAAAGATTGACTGCTAGGGAGCTGGAGTGAGCAGGAAGCTAATTTTGAGACTCTGGTGAACAGCTGTAGGTTCATATTTCTGGAATTATAGATGACCAGGACCTACCATTAATGATTCTGACAAACCAAGAGTTGCAAGTTGTTTTCTTTTTTTTTGTTTTCCATATATTTGTGAAAATGAGTAGCTTGAATAGTGTGATTTAAGATGAAAACATATACATAAATTTTTTTAGTCACTGGAAGATATTTCACCAATTAGAGACTTACTTGGTTTAATTAATTGACACTCCCCCCAGGAAGGCAAGTGGTCAATATGGAAGGAAGTGAGGAAAAGAAAACAGCCATCATTCACTTAATATAGGGTTATTAGATTCTCTTTCTGGGTGGAGTGTCATGTGAGATTGGGGCTTCTTTCTTAGAGGAATAGAGAAAAGTTCAGACAACCAGATAATTTGACGGAAGATGAGAGGGGGACACAAGAGTGTTGTTACACCTAACAACAACTTAAAGAGAAATGTAGAGAATATTTTAGGCAGAGAACACTCATTCAATGATATTTGGATTTGATAAATAGTTTAGCCTGCTTATAACTTACAGCATATTGAAGAGAATTTAGGAAACTTATATACAATAGTGAATTTGAATGTCAGATTTAAATGTGAACTTTAGTCATTGATGTAGACCTACTGAGCAGGAGAAAGATATAGTGAGGATTAGGAGCCTGGGTGGCAATTGCAATTTGTGATTAGATGCTGTGTTAGTCCGGGTTGACTAGAGAAACAAATTTATAGATACTCATATGTATATAAGAAAGAGCTTTTTAAACAAGAGCAATTGAATATTGAGAAAACATCGCAATCCAGCCCAGTCCAGATCAAGTACATAAGTCCAATATTAGCCTACATGTTCAATACCAATCTATAAAGTCCTCTTCAGACTCACGCAGCCATACAATAATGCGGAATGCAGGAAGATCTCTGGCCAGTGGGTGGAAAGTCTTGTGGATCCAGTGGTGGTAGAAGTCTCCACATGGCTGCTTCAGGCCCAGGGCTCTGGCTGCATTCACCTACCTCCATTAGGTTCGTCAGTAATGTCTCCCAGAGACTGAGCATGTGTCCCGCCTCTAGTGAGCTATTTAGCTTCTTAGTGCCTCCAAATGAGGTCATCAAACTGTGACCTGATTGACAGACTGAACTCCACCCCTTCACTGTTGTCTCAAATTGACAACAGATTACATAACTACCACAGATGCTAGCTAACTGATAGATTGTTCAAGTCCACTGAGAAGCTCTGTGGAAGAAAGGCCTTGCCAAGAAAACTGTATGGGGCAGTTCTACTCTGTAACCTATGAGGTTGTCCTAAGTTGGGGGCCAATTCTACTGTCATGAACAGCATCAGGATAGATTAGAGAAGAGAAACTGAGCTGCTATATGATTAAGAGGCTACGGTGGTCAAAAAAGAGGTATTGACGACTAGACCAGTTCATGGCAGTAGAAATGGAAAGAAAGGAGAACCACTTTAGAAATTCAGATCATGAATGCCAGTGATGAGCCTGGAGCTGTCTTTGCTTTGTTTTATGAGAAAAAGTCTTAAAAAGTGGTGAGAATAAGGATACAGCACCAAGGTGAGCCAAGTAATCTGAATGACTGAAAAAATGGTAGTACTAGTAGACAAAGTGTTTGGGAAGGTAGTGGTGATATCTACTTAGCATGCCATAGAAGGGCTCCAGGAAAGACAGCCCGGAGACTGGAGGCTAGGAAAAGAGATCAGCTGTCAACTCTGACGTAGCAGTGGAACAGATGTCAGGAAAAGACGATATCTTGAATCTAAAGTGGCTTGGTTGTGCAGTGGTTAGAGCTCGCTGAAAGATTGGTGGTTAATCTCGCCCAACGATGACTCCCTGAGAGTGTGACCTGCTGCTCTATTTCCAGAAAGATCACAACCTGGAAAACCTAAGGGTAGTTCTACTTTGGGCCCTGTCTGAGGAGAGACTGCACAGCAACAGCAACATCCCGATTCTGCAGATAATGAGCTACATGTCCAGGGTCAAGAGTTATGTAATGTCCCCAAGACTCTTATTTAATCATGTCCATTTGGAGAGAGACTGAAATTTTATCTTTTAAGTTGTATCTCTAAAAATACATTAACGACTCATAAAGTATTCCTCACCAGGATAGACTCCCCTGGTGGACATTCATTGTTGAAAAATGCTACAGTAACAAGTTTGTGAACTGGGTATATTTTAAATCCGTCTGGGTTTTACATGAACCAAGGCTTTTAAAACTAGAATGAAATTTAACCTGTTAACAGAATTTTTAACATGAGTCAAAGTGGTTTTAGGTTGTTAGTATTATTTTTACCCCAACCCTCTAGTGATTTATAAATATTTATTTCTTAGGTTCATTGATGTATTTAAATGAAGCCACACTTCTCCATAATATCAAAGTTCGGTATAGTAAAGACAGAATTTATGTAAGTATTTTGGATCTGGTATAAGTTTTTGTTGTTTTATTTTTATTGTACTGGCTACTGTTTGATTATTTTGGACTTTAGATTCCATGATAAGAAATCATACATGATATGAACCTGTTATTTAGTGTACCTTACCAGGATTAGGATTATTTACTTATTTACTTCTATAATAAGTATAGTAGTAGCCTTATAGAACAGAAATACCCTTATTTACTACTATAATTTCAGGGTATAGAATATGTCTGGAATCTAGTAGGCACTCAATATTTTTGGAGTAGAAATGAAGTAAGAATTTGATACCTTTCATATTAAAAATATCACAATTATTTTAAAACACTATCATTATTTTTAATTTTTTGGTATCTCTCTATAGATCTGTTTAATAAATTCAGTTTCTACATTATTCTACAGAGACCTTAAAGCAACCTATAAAGAATATATGTTAAAGTTTGAATAGGAAAAAATTCCTATTAGATCAGAAGACATTATTTGAGGAAACTGCAACAACACAGAAGTGATGACCACAGGATGTAGTGGGTGCAGTAGTTGAGCAAGCTCTAGATAGCTTGGTAAAAAAATCCAGCACAGAAAAAAAACCCCAAGAGTGCTTTAGTGTAAATGCCCAGGGTTTACATGAAATCATTCAGATGATTATTTTACTGGTATGCTTTAATTATAATTATTCATTGGCAGTGTACAAGATTTTATTCTACTTTGATCTAGTGGCAGATTCCTTTGTTGGCTGGAGATAAATTATCCATGGCAGTTCTTCTGTTATGAAGAGGGGACTCATTATTTTTGAACGAAGAAAACACATGGCGTCTTGACACCTCCTGGATCAAATGACAGTCTCAATCTTTTATATCACTATCAATTTGCCTAATTGTACTTACTTAATTCTGACTAAATTACCTTTATAGTCTTTACCATCTGTCCAACTAATGACAGCTGGGAAGTAGAACTGAGCTAGTCGTTTACTAAGAGTTTGCCTGACATTTCTTGGATATACGAGGCAGTTCCAGGAAGTTTGAGGAAAAATGGAATGAAAGGGAATGGAATTTTTCAATGAAATATTTTGAAGGTCCTTCCCTGCATGTTTGCATGAGCTCAAGTTTTAATCTTATGGTTTTACATTCTCCAATTAAAAAAACAATTAAGGTATATTTAAATTAAAATGTTGTTATTGATTAGAAAAGTACCTAGAAGCAAAGTCCATTCCATAGGCATACTCATATTAGCACCTGATGCATGCTGAATGCTGCTCTGGGCTCTGAGACAATACAATTCTTTACTGTTATATTTGTTAAAACACTTAACTTATAATGAATAAGTAGGGCGAAGGTTATTTTGGGTATAACCAGGAAACATCTTTCAAATTTACATATTATACATCACATGGTAATGGAGGATTCTTCATTTGAGCAAATATTAATGATTTTGGTATCTTCCTGATGTTTGGAGATCTTTTGGTTTCATAAAACGATAATTTATTTTTATTTGGGATAGTTTGTTTTTACTTGGGATGTTCATTCAAAGGATTAATACTCATGGGGTTTTCATTGGTCTTTTAATGCTTCTGGTGTTGTAGTAGTAATAATACTTATGGCCTGTGATCACTATTAATTGAGAAATTATAAGAAGTACAAATTGTACTTATAAAAATATTAGATGTTCCCTTTTAAAAATGAATATTCCATGCAGTTGCCCCACAAGTTTTGTAAATTGCATAGTTGGTAGAAAAGAATATCTGATTCTTAGAAAATTTTCCCTTTTTGTTCTTCATGTATAGTGTGTGCATCACCTAACTTTCTTCTGCTCCTTCTTGAAAAGCACTCCTGCAGTTGGGCACACAGCAGCTGTTTGATTGTGGCTGTCTACTTTGCGCACTCCTGGTTGGAGCCTCAGTGTTTTTATATGTAACTGGAGCCATGGTTGATAGGCATTTTTTTCTCTGGCCACTTATTCCTTTAGTAATAAAAAAACAACAACATTCAAAACCAGCAATATATTACTATTACTAGTCTCTGTGTTAGTCTGGGTTTGACTAGAGAAACAAATCCGGAGACCCTCATATATGTCAAGAAGTAATTTTATATCAAGCAAACATCCCAGCCCAGTCCTGATCAAGTCCCTAAGTCCAATACCAGTCATTAAGCCCCTCTTCAGACTCACACAGCCACATGCAATGATGCAGAATGCAGGAACATCACGGGCTGGTGGGTGCAGAGTCTTGTGGATCCAATGGTGGTGGATGTATCTCTAGGTGCGAGCAGCCATCAGGGTCAGATAGTTGGAAAGTGAAGGCAGAGAGAAAGAGGGAAGGTTCCTAGGACCCTCCTTATAAGAAGGCCTTGCTCGCAAAGAGGCACCATCAGGGGGGTGACAGGATTGACAGGCTACCCTCCACCCCTTCACTTTTATTTATCTAGTTGACCTGAAATTATGTAACTACCACCGTCACCATTACTGTAATATATGTAAGGGAAGGAAGCAATTTAGAATGGGTTTAAGTTTGACATTTTTATGTTTTTCAGTAATCTGAATGACTACATCCTCCAGATTTGAGAGGAACAATAAATAGCTAACCCAAATTGGTTAGGATAATCTCTGTTACTCTGTTTGTCCCTCATAGAAAGATTATTATGTGGAATTAATTCTTATTACACCTTTGGACACATTCCTTAAACTCTGGATTAATAGTCTGAGAGGTCAGGATTTTCACATCATTTCCTCCCCACCCCTAGAAACAGAAAAGAAAAATATGATCCTGGATGCCCTAGTTATGCCAATGTAACTATACTCCAATGTTTTCCCTCCCCAGTAAGGAATTTTTTATAAATTTTGTAGGTACATTTTTGATCTTCTAAAGGCACAGTAAAATCCCAAATTTAAAAATAAGGTTACATTGCTCACTAGGTTAGCCTTTCGGTGTTCTAAGAAATGTTTAGCATGCATGCTTTGTTTCACAGAAATCTTGGACCAAGTGGTCACCAGAGAGCTAAACTAGTGCTTGGCATTCAGTGGTGAGGATGGTCCCAGAGGGTCCTACGACCTATCTTAAGCTCTTTAACAACTCAAGACGTATGAGCAAGTGAGTTTGAGATACCTACGGAAGAAGAAGATGGAAACCTTTCTCACTGCCGTCCAGTCAGTGCTGACTCATAGCAACCCTCGTGGGTTTCCAGGACTTTAACTGGTGAAGGGAATGGCACGCCCATGGCTTCTCCCACGGAGCTTCTGGTGGTTTCTAACTGCCAACCACGCGGACCACAGCCCATGTGTAACCACTACGCAGCCAGGGCTCCTAAACATTTCTTTAGAGCTGGAGACAAATGGGCTCATGGAAACTCAGTAATGTTTAGGACTGAAAATGAGATTTGGGAGTCCTAGTTATATACGGGGCTGAAAAATAAAATCTATTTGCTCTCTTTTGTTATGTTTTCTTGCTTTATTACTTGTGTAAACTTTTTTTTACATGAAAATAGTAATTTGAAAATTTCATATTTATGCTTTTCCAATTTAGACATATGTCGCCAACATTTTGATTGCAGTGAACCCATATTTTGACATACCTAAAATATATTCTTCAGAAACAATAAAGTCATATCAAGGAAAGTCTCTTGGCACGATGCCACCTCATGTCTTTGCAATTGGTATGTCATTTTATCCTCAGACTCCTTATATTGTACAACTTGGCTTGTGTGTGTGTGTGTGTGTGTGTGTGTGTGTGATTTGAGAAAGTAAGAAAAACAAAATACCATGCATTGACTATATATTTTGGAGGACCTGAATGCATTTTGCATGCATTAGCATTGGTAGCAACATGCATATATTTTACATAGGGCAGAGAGTACCTTTGCAGCCAACTCTTGAGTTCTTTATACATTTTCTGTGTTAAGTGTCTACTTCCTCATAGGTGTGTGAGCCCCGTTCAAAGCAGGACAGAGTAAAAACGGTGACCCCCCAGCAGGAGTCCCAGCTCCCCTTGAACAGCACCGTCCTTCACAGCTTTCAGGCCCAACTGTTACTAGGGGATACTTTGTGAGTGTGTTGGTAGGCTACATTCGAACTTTAAGAGCAGATTTCTTTCAGGAATTATTTGGTGTCAAGGCTTCATAAAATTATAGGATTGAAAGTGGTATAGCTTCAGGTCCCTGGGGAATTAGCATGGGAAGGCAGTAGTAGTTATCTTTCTTAACCTTTCTCTCATTTTATAGCACTATAGCTCTGAGGCACAGAAAAAAAAAAGTTATTTGATTCAAATTAGAAATTACCCTTTGTGGTAGCTGATGACTGCAAATATGTATAAGATGTTAGATAATCCCTTGGAGCCAGACCTATCCAGCAGTTAAATAATGACATTCTTTGTGATGGTTCTTAATGCAGTTTCTGTGGCTTCCCCTGATCATGGAACTACTAGGCAGGGTAAAGTCCAAGTCCCGTGTAGCAGCAGGTAAACGTCCTGTCCTAAGAGGCTCCCGCAAGCATTGGTATCTTCTCTATCAGTTGGCAAAAATGGGACAACACTTAGATGTTGAATGTGAGCAAACTTAGTACTGGAGAGAAGCTGTGTGTTTAAAATAAAAATAAGCTGTCCCTTTATTTTATTTAGCCTTTCATTGCTAATTAAAGGTTTTTAGAATGATTCCACAGAAATATGTAGAACAGAATTGTTGACAGATTGCTCAAGGGCATGGGCATATTCTAGCATGTATCTTGCAAACCTTTGGTCCTTTGAGTACAAGTCACATATAAAGCTTTCTTGGTTCTTATGAATAACTTATCTCTGGAGTGAGAAACAATTGTCTTATAGAGCCATATTAGTCAGGAACTAGTTTGAAATTAAAATTGTTTTAATAGGGAATTGTTTAAACAACGTCCAGAATCAGAGTGGGCTGAACTTGTTCCTTTAACCTTAAAATTTAATGAAGATATTGTTTTGTCTAGTGTTCATATTTTGTGATGATAGATCTACAAGGATCCCTGGTGGTGGAGGGTTTAAATGCTTGGTGGCTAACTGGACAGTCTGTGGTTTGAACCTCTGAGCTGCTCCATGGAAGAAGGAGGAGGCAGTTTGCTTCTGTTAGGATTACATGGAGCCTTAGAAGCACTATAGGGCAGTTCTCCTCGGCCCTATAGGGTTGCTATGAGTTGGACTTGATTCTTTGACAACAATTTTTTATAGGCTAGTTATCAGTCTGTGTATGTGCGTTTGAAATTGTCAGTCTAGGAAATTCAAGGCAGTTAATTTCTCCTATTGAAGTGCTGATAAAGTCTAGGATATGTTTTCACAGGGAAAACAACAACAGAAACCCTTACAGATTTGTTCCACAATTTTAATTATTTTCCTCCAGTAGATTTTTTTGGTTGCCAGGCTTCTTAATTAGAAGTTTGTTACAGCTTCCTTTTCTCTGGGGACTTCATTAGTTACACAGAGTGAGCATTTTTTCTCCCTGCAGATCTGCTCTTGTCTTCGTGAGTATTGGGCCATGGTTCAAAATACAGAGATATTCTAGTGCAGATCTCAGTTGTTTACTTGAATTTTGAATTACTCAACTGGCAGGATAATAAGAATGCTCTTGTATTGAACATTTTTGAATGATTTTTATTTAAGATTTTTTATTGAAAAACACATTTATCATTTCCTTGGGAGTAAGTCCTTCTTATTTTAACGGGAATTTCAGTTATTTTGTAAATTTGTATGAAATCTATTGTTCACTACTAATGTCTTATTTTGATCATAGCTGATAAGGCTTTTCGAGACATGAAGGTCCTCAAGATGAGCCAGTCTATCATTGTATCTGGAGAATCAGGAGCTGGCAAAACAGAAAATACAAAATTTGTTCTAAGGTCAGTATTCAGATGATCTAGAGAAGTTTCTACAGGTTGATATTTCATACTTTTGGGTGCTTTGTGAAATAAGTGTGAAGTGTTGTGCCCTCTCCCCTTTAAGAACAGACACTTCTTGGGAAGCTAAGTGGCAGACTATTGAAAGCCAGCTCTGACTTACTGTTTGTCTGTCCTGGAAGAGACCAATCCTGGCTAGACAGGGCAATCTAGGACTGTTTCCTCAAAACTAAACCTTCTGTTCTCAGTATCCCTACTATTGTATTCATCAACTAAGTAGAGATGTTCAACTAGTGGATAATAACAAACTGATAACTTTGAGAAGATTGGCAATTTCAGAACACTTCATTGTGCTCATGCAGAACTTGTACATGGACCGAGAGGCAGTTATTTGAAAGAACAAAGTGAATACTTCCTGGTTTAAAGTCAAGAAAGGTGTGTATCAGGATGATAGCCTCTTACCATACTTAAGCTGTATAATAAGCTGAGAAGCTAGACTTTATGAAAATGAATGAGACATCAGGATAGAAAAAAAGCTTATTAAAAATCTGTGATGTACACATGACATAGCCTAATTTGCTGAAAGTGAACATGACTTGAAGCACTTGCTGATGAAGATCAACTAGTCCTGCCTTCAGCACACTGGATCACAGCATACTGTAAAGAAAACCTAATCCTCCCAGCTGGACCAATAGGTAACATCATGATACATGGAGAGAGGATTAAAGGTTTTGTTTTTTAAAAATAATTTTATTGGGGGCTGGTACAACTCATCAAAATCCATACATACATAGTGTCAAGCACATTTGTACATTTGTTGCCATCATCATTTTCAAAACATTTTCTCTCTACTTTAGGTCTTGGAATCAGTGCCTCATTTCTCCCCTCCCCCCCATGAACACTTGATAATTTATAAATTATTATTATTTTTTCACGTCTTAGACTGATCGATGTCTCCCTTCACTCACTGTTCTGTTGTCCATCCCTAAGGGAGGCAGTTATATGTAGATCATTGTGATCAGTCCCCCTTTCTTCCCCCACCTTCCCCTTAACATCCTGGTATGGCTACTCCTAATATTGGTCCTGAGGGCTTTATCTGCCCTGGATTCCCTGTGTTTCCAGCTCTGATCTGTACCTGTGTACATGCTCTGGTCTAGCCGGATTTATAAGGTAGAATTGGGGTCATGATAGTGGGGGGGAGGAAGCATTAAAGAACTAGAAGAAAGTTGTATGTTTCATCGGTGCTATACTGCACCCTGACTGTCTTGTCTCTTCCTTTTGACCCTTCTGTAAAGGGATGTCCAGTTGCCTACAGATGGGCTTTAGGTCTCTACTCCTCACTCCCCTTCATTCACAATGATATGATTTTTTGTTCTGGGTCTTTGATACCTCATACCTGATCCTATTGACACATCATGATCACACAGGCTGGTGTGCTTATTCCATGTGGGCTTTGTTGCTTCTTAGCTAGATGGCCGCTTGTTTGTCTTCAAGCCTTTCAGACCGGAGAGGATTCAAGTTGTCAAAGATTTCTTCTTCCTTGGATCCACAAACAGTGTTCATGAAGCAGCAATCAAGAGATCAAAAGACGTGTTGCTTTGGGTAAATCTGTTGCACAAGACCTCTTTGAAGTATTGAAGAACAAGCAAGGGTGTGACTTCGAGGACTAAGTTTTTCCTAGCATAAGCCAGGGTATTTTAAATTTCCTTATACTCATATGAAAGTCGGACATTGAATAAAGAATGCAGCAGAAGAATCAAGCATGGGAATTGTGATGTTGACTGACTATCCAAAGTACCGTCGACTACCAGAGAAACAAATGAATCCGTCCTTGGGAGAAGTACAGCCAGAATGTTCCTGAGAAGCAATGATGGTAAGACACACCGTCTTAAGAACTTCGGGCAGTGAAACAGAAGATGGATGGACACCGCGGCTGCAACAATGGACTCGGACAAGGCCAATGCTTTACTTGTATGTAGAGTCGCTACGAGTTAGAACCCACCTGATGGCACTTAGCAGCGAGTGTAGCTGGAGCCTTTTGGTTTTTAACCTCACGGTCAGGGTCATAGATCCTCCCGTCTCTCATATTCATTGTCATCAAATTAAACACTCCATTTTTTATTTTAAATCAGAACATTTTAAAAATGGAAGGACTCATAGTACTTACTACAGTTCTTTCAATGTAGAGACTCAAAATGGTTAAATCCACCAGCGAAGCTACAGTTAGGACCACTGCCTTCTGAATTCTCTTGTGTTCTCACTTTATTACAACTCTTAGTTGATAGCTGTGTAGGAACACAGTTTTGGAATTTTGCCATTATTTATTCTAGTGTGTGTGTATGTGTGTGTGTATATATACACGCATACACACACACACATGTCCTTTATATACATAAAAGCAATTTAAGAGTTTTTTATGCATATTCTATTCTGATTAACTGAATGCTTTTCAATACTTTTGGAATTTGATCTATTATTCTCTAATGTATATAATAGTCATATTGTGAATATGTCTGGTAGATGCTTTTAGCAATGTACAAAAATTAAGAATATGTAAATTATATTGTAAATCAAAGATTGCCCTGTTTTAAAAGATACCAGACAAAAAGCCATTCTATAATGTATTTTTCAGTTCAGTACAGCCCAACATGAATTATGATTACGTTAGTGGTTTAGTGGTTTAGTATTTAGTGGTTTTCTTGATTGAATTAATAGCTAATCGCAAATGACTTTGCAATCTCATACAGTATAGAATATTCCCAAATGTAATGTACATCATATGGAAAACCAAATAATTGGTTTCTTCAGAATTCTCCAAAATTGTTTATTGAAATAATGCTGATTTGGATGTTAAAGGTAATCTGAATAGAATTTTAAATACATCTAGAAAGGTAATCACAGAATATTTTCATTTAAATGTATAGAAAAAAATGACTACATTTCTGCTTTAAAATATTAAATGTTACTAAAACTAAAAAATATATAATATTACTGCCATCTAAATTTTTTTTATCGTATGTTTTACAGATATCTGACTGAATCCTATGGAACAGGTCAAGATATTGATGACCGAATTGTTGAAGGTATCGCTAATCTTTTAAATTCTCTTTATTGTTAAGAAGGTGATGAAGTTAACTTTAGTCAGTGAACTTGAATTCTCTTTCCCCAGAGATACGAAAGACTCTTTCTCCTTGCCGCCCCCACACCCTTCTCCCTCAAATGGATTCAGGCTAATGGGAACCCTGTCTAGGGTTTCTGAAGCTGTAATTCTTGACGAGAGCAGAGAGTGTCACCTTTCTCCCATGGATTGGCTGGTGGGTTTGAACTGAAAACCTTATGGATAGCAGTTTAACACATTCATGACAGCAACATCAAGAACATCTTCTCAGTTTAGCTAAATATCATCTTCTGAGTAACATCATGTTTCCTGTATTCTCTCACCTTATGTAAGCACTATTGGGACCAGGTCCCCCTCGTCCCCCCCATTTATTTATTTTATTTTAAAAATCATTTTAGTGGGGACTCATATAATTCTTATCACAACCCATACATATATCCATTATGTCTAGCACATTTGTACATTTGTTGCCATTATTCTCAAAATATTTTCTTTCTACTTAAGCCCTTGGTATCAGCTCCTCATTTTTTTCTCTTCCCTCCCTACCCCCTTCTCCTTAATGAACCCTTGATAATTTATAAATTATTATTTTTTCATGTCTTACATTGTCAGACATCTCCCTTCACTCACTTTTCTGTTGTCCGTCCCCCAGGGAGGAGGTTATATTTAGATCTTTGTAATTGATCACCCCTTTCTATCCCACTTTCCCTCCACCCTCCAGGTATCGCCACTCTTACCACTGGTACTGAAGGGATCATCTGTCCTGAATTCCCTGTGTTTCCACTTCCTATCTGTACCAGTGTACATCCTCTGGTTTAGCCAGATTTGTAAGGTAGAATTGGGATCACGATAGTCGGGGGAGGAAGCATTTAAGAACTGCAGGAAAGTTGTATGTTTCATCATTGTTACCCTGCACCCTGACTGGCTCGTCTCCTCCCCAGTGTCCAGTTGCCTACAGATGGGCTTTGGGTCTTCACTCTGCACTCACCCTCATTTACAATGATATGATTTTTTATTTTTTGGTGCCTGATACCTGATTCCTTCAACACCTCGTGGTCACACAGACTGGTGTGCTTCTTCCATGTGGACTTTGTTGCTTCTGAGCTAGATGGCCAATTGTTTATCTTTAAGCCTTTAAGACCCCAGATGCTATATATTTTGATAGCTGGGCA